GGCCAGATATGATCATGCCCGACAAGGATACTCACGCTCGTGATCCGTTATGAATTTCGTTATTTAACATAACGTTTCCAACACTAATATCAATATTGTATGATGATTTATTTATATTTATATTTACTTTACTTATTATGTAATTGTGTGCTATATTCTGTGTTTATCCTTTTTTGAAATATTTTACTAAATGAGTAACATCAACACACTAAAACTTAACATTTTACATTTTTTTAAAAAGACAACAAACTGTATACTTCTAATAGAAAAAATAAAGGTCACAAATTTTAACATGGATCAAGTTAGTCTATTGCTATATACAAATCCAATCTCTTATCCATGGACAACCCGCCTATTGACCATTGACTTAACACTAAGAAAGTACACCAAATCAAATACAAACTTCTCGATAATTAAACATGTTTTTGCAGAAATCATATCCCATTACCCCAACTACTTGCAAATCTTTACCGACGCCTCTAAAACCCCAGATGAACATGCTGCTGCTAACTATTCTAATGAAGAAAACTCCTACAGCATACATTTACCTACAAAATAATTTGTAGTATACTCACAGGCGAGACCACAGCTATATTAAAAGCTTTAACTTTTTTCAAAACGAGTAACACGATGAAGTGCGTCATCATTACAGATTTGCTTAATGCGTTATTGAAATTAGAGCAAATTTATACAACAAATCCCATTATATAAGCAGTAAAAATGAATTAGAAATAATTCATGCCATGGGAAAGGACACAGCTTTGATTTGAGTACTATCGCACACTGGAATCTGGGGAAATGAACAAGCAGATCAACTAGCAACTACAAACCGTATCAACTTAGAAGATACTACAAAATATTACAAAATACATAAATGCCAAAATTAGAAATTTGGCAAAATTACTGGGAAAATTCAGCAACCAAATTAAACTCAAAATGCCCAAAGATGAACAGTTCTTTGAATAACCCCACACGTAGACTAGATCAAGTAATTATATACCGTTTAAGATTGGTCATACTGCTTCACACACAAATTTTTAATCAGTAAAGATCCATCACCAATTTGCAAAAACTGCTCCACTTCATTGACAGTGAAACACTTCCTGCTTGACTGCCCATGTTTCCAAAATCAAAGAAGAATGCATGGCATTTCAAACGATCTCAAATTCATCCTGACAGATAAAAATTTTAATGTTGAATTAAATTATTTAGGTGATATAAAAATTATATTATACTATTTAATATACATAATCATATTAAAATTATTGTGTTTGTCATTCCACTAATAACCCTCCGTGGTTGATGTGGAATAAGTGTTTTAAATAAAAAAAAAAAAAATTACATTTCCTTAAATTTAGTTCAGTTAATGTTTTACAAAATATTAAAGATATTAAAAACTTTTCTCTTGTATTCTCATTGTTCTAAGCATTTTTTCGTATTCTTATAATATTCTCATCACAATCAAAATAATTTTTTTTTATTCAATCCAGGTAACCTTTAATATGTGTTACAACATCATAAAGTATTTAATGATTGACGATGAGACAATGGCAGTATTGAATGCTTAAATCTAATATCGATGAGTTGCAGTTTTAAAGGACCCATTTAATACTAGGTCGTGAGTTTCGTAAGCCAGAAGACAAAAATCAAGGATCTCCTGAGAAATGTCATTTTCTTTCATTTATGAGAATAATAAATATATCCGTTTTATTTGCAATATCTTATTGTGTGAAGATTATTGTCAAATGAGGAAGTCACGATAACAAAATACTTTTAATACAATATTTGCCTTTAAAATCTTAATAAAAATTATGCATAATAAAATCCCACTGGAGGTTCACTACGTTCATAACATAGTTAATCGAACTCACATTTGTACGTACATTTAAAGGACAATACATTGATAATATGTGGCCAGCCAAAAAGTGGCAGCAAATATTTTTAACTCAATTAATAGTAATTAATTATTAATATTAATAGTAATTAATTATTGAGAGGGGTGTATAACTAGTTCGCGTCCGTAGTAGAATACTACACGTGCACCCTGGGTAATGCTAAAAATGAACTAGCAAATATTGGCGGTCAGATAATCTCAGGATTTCCTAGCCAGAGACATTGCAAACAATTAATTATTACAAATGGTTTCACAGAGGACCTAATTTTTTACTTGAATATAGAAAGCATAAGCTATTCAAAGAGACATTCAACAAGTGCGAAAAGTGGGAAAAATACCTGGCTTTCAACTACTGGGCGCCACGTACCATTGATCATACGGCACAGCAACGTACGTTAAACAATAAATAAAAAACACTGTCCTTTTTTCCACGTGTCATCATCATCAGTGGCATTCCAGCTCGTTATGAGCCAAAGCCTTCTTCAGAACAATCTTCCATTCGCCTTTGTCTCTGGCAACTCTTCTCCATGCTTTAACTCCGATGGATTTTAGATCATCCTCTATGTTATCTTGATACCTAAGTTTTGGCCTTCCTCTGGATCGTCTTCCCACTGGCCTTCTTCGGTCGAAAATTTTTCTGATCGTTGCATCTTTTTCCACGTGTACAAATAATAAAATTCATAATGTTGTTGTAAAAATTGGAAGCATCTCCGCTACTAACACCACAAACCACCATCTATATCCTGGCCAGCTCAAGTTCCACACACATCCGCACCCGTCAATATACGTGGGGAACTACAACAGTCACCATGAACAGTAGAATTATAAACAATGCAACAGCAATGGAAATGGACTAGTAAAACGGACGGAGAACGAACATCTATCACGTTAGATTGATGCAAAAGACTGACCTAAATTTATGTCAGCAGCATGGAAAAGGAGTACAATCTTGATCTACATTTTGTCTATTAATAAAAATGGGCAACCTCTAACAATCTCGCGAAAAGTAATGGACGACTTCCCACACAGCCAACACCGCCCAATGATTATGGAGGTAGGAACCCAAATTCCTGTATCCCATCCATCCCTCGCCCAAGTAGAATCTAAAGAAAGCTATGTAGGGTAGGTTTTCTGTGGAACTGGGCAAGACTCTAGGCTGGATACCCCTAACCATAAAAAATTACAAAAGATTCGTTGGAGCCGTAATAAGCACGGCCAAAAAGCCTTTACCAATAGGCTATCGAAAAGAATACATTTCTGATTGGGTTCAGGAATTCCCTTCCTCTTCCCCTTCCCTTCAACAGCAAAGAATTGTACCCAAATTTTCTTAAAAGTGGCGATCAAGAATTAACCGATGAACTGCTCCATAGCCTAGATGTAGCGAGACAACAAAAGTGGACGGAAACTATAAAAGTCTTAATTTTCCAACATCAAGGTTTGACACTACTAAGAAAATAAGGAAGCGGAACTCACACAACAAGGAACAAAACAACATTTAACCCAAACACTATTGCCTCACATCTAATATCGATATCTAGGGCCTCGAAAGATAAGCCATACACAATCAAGGTAAAACGGGAGCTCAAAACTTTAAAATTCCAATCTATAGAAACCGAACACTCCCGCCCTTTTACTTGCGAAGAAGTGATTATAGCTATCAAAGATGTAAAGCCAGGTAAAGCGCAAAGTTTTGACAATATTCATCCCGAATTCTTAATTAACAGCGGCAAATATGCGAGAGAATGGATGACATACTTTTTCACAAACATTATGAAGACCTGTACTATACCACAGGAACTCAATTGCTCGAAAGTCATTGCCATATTAAAACCAGGGAAACCAAATGATAACAACCCTAAGAACTGCAGACCAATAGCCCAACTATCGGCGACATTCAAGCTACTAGAACGGCCTATCTATAACAGAATTAGTCCAAAGCTACTTGAATCAATTCCGGTTGATCAGACAGGTTTCCGACCGAAAACAAGCTGCACAGATTAGATTCTTTCACTTGCCACATTTTTTGAGGCAGGGTTCCAGAAAAAACTTAAAACTGCAGCCACATTCATAGACCTAATAACGGCCTACGGTACAGTCGGGATAGAAGGCATGATATACAAGCTCCTCCATACAATTTCCTGTAAATCCACTTGAGACAGCCTCTGTAGTCAATAATTAAGTCTGGCACTTGCTTATATATTTTAAGTTAATAAAGTCCTCGAATAAGTTGTTCAAGGATCAGAAGCAAGCTCTTTAATATTAGTCTTAATAATGTACTTGACCCAAGACAAGACAAAGACTTTTAATGAAAAAGACCAATTCTACGATGGATTTAAAAACACGTATCAGATTTGTCTCAGAAATTACATGAAGTATGGAATACAATAAAATACTGAAAAAATATAAAATCTCCAGGAAGTGACGGTATATCTGCAGAACTTATTAAATGCGGGGGCGTTAATCTTACTAAATAAATATATAAAATAATAGTAAGAACCTGGAATGAGGAGCAAATCCCGGAAGAATAATATACTGGAATTGTTTTCCTACAACACAAAAACAGTGATCAATTGAAATACAGAAACTATAAGGAAATAGCTCTCCTTACAACAGCATACAAAATATTTTCGAGTATTCTTTGTCGATTCAGAGGAAGTTTTTAGCGAATATCAAAGTGGTTCTGGTCGATCCACAAATTAACAGATTTTTATGCTAAGGTAAATACTGAGGAATAATATATTTGTTCAAAAAAACAATTAAAATTGTACTTTAATTAATGAATAAGTACATTGAAAAAGTTGTATACCTTGAACGAGTAAATTTCTTAGCGAACTTAAGGAAAAACAAAGCCTTCACCCGGACATCTGCTTAAAATTCGTAGAAATAATTTATCATATCATATTAAATTCCAAAGATATTATAATAGGCTTTTCCAAGAAGATCATAAATGCCAAAACACATTCTAAATGGAATCGAATAAAACTAATTAAAAACATCAAGAAAGCATGTATAGGTTTGGTACTCGATTCCTCCTTCTCTTGTGCCATTGAAATCTTCATACCGCCTCGAGCTTTAAGCATCATTAAGAAGTATCAAATTATGTAGTGGTGGCTACAGTTCACCAGTGTCGTTCTGTCTCTCGAAAAATATACATTTCCACTCGCAAAAATTCGGTAAGGATATTAATTTTGTGTGTGTTTATGTGAACATTTTTGGTATGTTTTTAAATTTAGTACATTTGAATAATTTACCTTTAAAAATTATTATCAACAACAATATAGTTGTTGTGCAACGTACTGCAGTTGTACCTGCCGGATTAGTTAATATATTTATTATATAATTAAACAATAGTTTATTGTTAAAATGTATGCAATAAGAGTTTGTAAGGCTGTTACATTAATTCATAAGAGTACTTTATTGTATGTTGTCAGTACTATTTTTAACTTCGTTCTCTTCCATCAGGTAGCGGTTCACCTTTTGTTATTATTTTCTTTTAAAATCTTCTAATAATCCTTGTTATTTAAAGTGATTTTTACTATATAGAAGCCCTTTAAAACTTTAGTATTATTCCTTTTTTACTGTTTTTACTTAAATTTAAAATCTTCATATTCTGCTAATATTCATTCCTGAGAGGAGTAAGAGAAACTAGGTGTAACCAAAATAATATATCATCATTCTAAAGAATTCCAACTTTTCCATCTACTCCTCCAAGTGACAGAAGTCCTATCTCTCGGAAAATTTATACTATGTACGTTAGATGCCTTTTTGGACATGCTACAGTAAATGCTTACTTATATAAAATAAAACTTTCCGAAACTGATATATGTGAATCTAATGGCAGTTATGACGATCTTAACCACTAGATGTTTCAATGTCGGTATAATTAAGAAGCCATAAAATTTTTATTTCAAGCCATCTCCCAAGAAAAATCAATCTGCCGCAGAACGTTGCTTCTATTCTCTATTTAGGTAGTCGAAATTCAACTATAAGATCAATTTTATGGGAATTTTTTGAACGTACCAAACGGAAAATCTAAACTGCCCTGTTCAGTGTTGTTGTGTGAATCCGAAATGGTAGGACGTTAGTTGTTGTGTTTGCCATTGTCTTTCCTTTTATGTCATTTAATTTAACCGTTGCCTGCATTGTTTGTGTTAAAAAAAGTCGCTATGAAGGGCACCTTAGCGTGAAGCGTGTGTTCCTGTTCAATCCTTTTTGTATAGTCACACAATAGTGTTTTTAATGGGAAGGTTAGGAAATTGAGTGAATGTGGTGCGAATGAACGAACGGTTAGGAAATTGTTATAAATTTGAAGGATTGTTTTTATGTATTCTATATTCTTATACCTATATTGTCTGGCTAAATAGGTCTTGTACCTAAGGCCAAAAAAAAAATCATTCTAAAGACATGCATTACTGAAATTTGGTAGTTATTGTTTGAATTTTCGTTAAGTTGACTTAAACTAAACTTAGATATCATGAGTATGTCAATATCTAATTTGCTCACGGCCGTAAAAAAGTAAAACTGTGAGAAAATTGCGCCGAGAAAATTCATCGATCAGGTATTTTAGATTGCTGTATAGATAAACTTTTCTAGCCAAAATAATCTTCACTTTTTTTTATAAGCAATTTTTATCTCCCTGCAAACAATGCTTTTTCGGGTAAAAATAACGTTTTCCAAAAATTCATTAATTAATAATATTAATTAATTACGTTTTTAATTTAATTTCTATAGTGAAGCAGTATTCAGTGCGGACTAAGACTAAAGCGGGCCCTAAGCACTAACATCACCAAAAATTATTTTGAATTTATTGTTAATAGTTTTATATCCTTCAGATCTTTATTCGATTAGTAAAGAAACGCACACAATAACACAAATATTAATTTTAAAATAAAAAAAGAGGTTAATCTTCGTAAATGGGTATATTTAAAAAACCCTTAAAAGGGCTACATAAAAAAACAAACGTTTTCGGAATAAAACATTCCATCATCAGGTTTAAAATTGCCTTAAATAAGTATAAACCATTTAGTTAAAACAAACGTGGTTTAAAATTTTGACTAGGGTTAAAAAGCAAAAATGGTTATACTTACAAGGTTAACTGTTAATGCCTGAGCCACCAAAATATCAGGGTAAAAACCCTTTAAATTACATGTAGTTGTAAAAGATTGTACATAATGTTGTTATAAATCTGTGATGTTAAATATTAAATTAAATTTGACTTCAGGTAACATACACCCATGGTTGAAGTGAGTTCCAGTGTCCGGAGAGTAAACCTCTTCAAACGGACTACAGCTGGTTACTGATTGACAAGATACCTACGAACGGTGTCGAAAACAAAATGTTATTGTAACATGAAACTATATTAGTTATACATAGTATTACTATAGCCAAAAGATTTAAAAATTTTGATGATGTTGAAAAATAATAACAGCAATCCAGGTGTTGGGATTTAAAAAAATTTTTATTTATTAATTTAGGGTATAAAATATGTGAAATTACCGATGTTGTTAAATGTCATGTTTAAGAAGAAGAGTAACGTAGGTTGCCTAATGCACATGTCATTCTCTTAAACATGATCTTTAACAGCATCGGTATTTATTAAATTTATACAACTAAATTAATAAATAACAAGTTTTTTAAATCCCAACACCTGGATTGCTGTTATTTTTTTTCAACATCATCAAAATTTTTAAATCTTTTGGCTGTAGTAATACTATGTATAACTAATATAGTTTCATGTTACATTGACATTTTGTTTTCGACACCTTTCATAGGTATCTTGTCAATCAGTTACCAGCTGTAGTCCGTTTGAAGAGGTTTACTCTCCGGACACTGAAACTCACTTCAACCATGGGTGTATGTTACCTGAAGTCAAATTTAATTTAATATTTAACATCACAGATTTATAACAACATTAGGTACAATTTTTTACAACTACATGTAATTTAAAGGGTTTTTACCCTAATATTATGGTGGCTCAGGCATGTTAACCTTGTAAGTATAACCATTTTTGCTTTTTAACCCTAGTCAAAATTTTAAAGCACGTTTTTTTTAACTAAATGGTTTATACTTATTTTAGAAAATTTTAAACCTGATGATGGAATGTTTTATTCTGAAAACGTTTGTTTTTTGATGTAGCCCTTTTAAGGGTTTTTTAAATATACCCATTTACAAAGAATAACCCCTTTTTTTGTGATACGTGGTATACAGCCAGCTACAGGAATTGTTTTCCTTGTGGATTTTTTTAATTTTAAAATGTTCTTTGCCACTGAACCTTATTTCATGTTCTGGAATTTCAGTACGAAATAGTTTTCGTGTTTTCTGCCGTTTTTTATCATTTGTATAAAATATGCAATACCTTTAACTTTTTTTAACTTTAAAACTGCTATATTTAGGCATTCGTCTTTTTGTTGAAGTCTTGTGTGAAGCATTTTTTCTCTAAAATCTTTTCTCACATAGCAAGTGACAGTACATACTCAAATATATCAGGTTCTTTATGTGATTTGGCAGCTTATGACCTTTTGAATGGTTTTTCATCTTTGTTTAAGAAAAATGTCACACACAATGTTTAATTTCTTCATAATTTTCCTTTAAATATTTAACAGCATCAGAACTTGGTGTCACAAATAAGTTTAATACTCAAGTGTTTGCCCTTACAAATTTTGTGTAATGCGTTCCACCTATGTGTAGAACTTATACTTATACGTACGAAAAAATACGTACACCTTCTAAACGATATTGAAAAAAGTGCAAATTTTCATCTTCCTTGAAAATTTCAGCAGCAGCGTTTCCAATTAAATTTAAGAATGATTTGCGTATGTTGGGAAATGGACAGAAAAAATATGTTTTATTCTGGATTGGAGTCCTCTATACTTACCTGACAGATTTAACGTATTATCATAACACTGTCTCACTGTCTAATTTGATCAGTTCCTGGTGCTGTATTCTTTTTAAGCTTTTTATTAACTATTTGGTTGAATAGATTCCAATTATTTCGATCTGCTACAGTGTTATCTGCTTCTTCAATATAATGGCCGTTATATTCTGCGCCGAAATATTCAACCTATCGGTTCAAGATTGAGGCCTTATCACTTAGGATATTTCCTTCTCCATCCTTACAGCTCCCTATTATTGACATAAAATCTTTACTAATTTTGTTTACATTTCTGTACAACTTTTAAGTTTCGTTTTGATTTGTTAGCCATTCTATGATTTCTAACAGCTTTTCTTCAAATTGTCTCCTTTTTTTCTGTTTTCTTATTTTTCTTTCCTTCTTAGTGTGCGGTAATCCTCCTTTGCTATTCTTGTGCATCTAGCTTGATTTGGCTTTAGGTATGCTCTATTTTGTTTTCTGTTGCTTCTTGGCACTCCTCGTTTAAACCATTCGTTTTCTCTAACTTGTTTGGTTTTCCCAATATTTTCGATGCCTTCTAATTAAAAGCTTTTCACACATTTAAAGTACGTTTCTTTTTAATTCGTTCATTCGTCATAAGTATATACAAAACATATCAGTCTTTTGCAATAATTTTGTTTGATTGTTTTGTCAGGTACAAATAATATTACATATAATATAAGACGACTTTATTGCTGGCTAATCTGAAAATACAAAAATATGCCTTTTTTTTTAAATATAAATAACATTAATCAATAAAAGGAAAAACTTTGTGTCCATTACACATTATTAATCAATCGTATAATTGTAGGTAATATTTACAAGGCTGACCATTTACGACCATCGTAAATCAGCCAAACAAATAATATCACTATAAATATATTTATAGTAATCTTTATTTATATTAGTATAAATTATATACTATTATAATTTATAGTAAATAACTTATAAGAAAAAATAACTTTCCGAAGCGATTTGAGTCAAAATTTTTTTAAACGTATCTCATTGAAATAAAAATGAATTGCAATTCTGTAAAAAGTTTTATAATCTCATAAACTTTCATGTACAAGTAAGAATATTTTGATTAATTGTAATTGCTATTAAAAGAGTAATTTACAATACATTGAACATTCTTCAGGACGATTAAAGGACCGTATCACCTCCTACAAGGGTGATTCGAAGAAATATCCAGATAGGTGTAGTTCACACAATGAATTACAGTGGGTGGCCAAATTATTACGGACAGTAAGATGATTTCTTAATTTCTAGTTTAACTGAATTTTT